GAGTTCCTTTATGAACAGGGTAGAGATTTAGACCAACTCATCTAGTGGCCTTTAGATTTCAACTGACAATAAACACTGCAGTGGCGGTAAAATCAGATAGATAATTGATTAACAAGTGGAGGTGGAGAAGTACCTAACGGATGTGGTGTTGGTCAATGTTTAATTAAGCTTTCATCGAAATCACATTAAAAAAAAAGGGGTAATATGTTTAAAAGTTAAATTATTTTAAAAATGAAAAATAGAATATTGTTGTTAATTTGTTATCACATACAGCACAAAACTGGAAGACGCCAACTAAGGCATCTATATAAGTTATCACCGTCGAATGTAAATTCAGAGAAGCTGAGGGTACATAGACTTGGGCCACTTGGGATAAGCACGCTTGTACAAGTTCATGCATACAATGTCATGTTGCTGCACCACTCCATTGAATATGCATTTCATCGCCCCTGCACAACACATGTATAATAAACAACCAACATTTTTTTGCAGTCTTTCTCTTCTAATATTAAACAATAGCAATGGCTTTACCATGTGTGCCCACTGGCTCTTTCACGCGACCACGCCGCCCACATTTTGTCCATACTTCTACAGGCTGCACACACAAACATTGTTCCATCGGTTCACAACTTTAAGCTTTTACACACAATACATAAGAATCCTTTTATTCAACCTTTTCCTTCTTACCTTGAACCATCTCACATCTTCCGGGTTGTGGAACATATATCTCACTGACGCCTTCAGTTTTGATACTCTCTGAGGATACCTGTCGAGCAAACCACATTTTCAATGCGCTTAGAATCAAGAACAAACTATAATATGCCACTGTACCAGGAAAGAGAGGAAATAACATTTACCCTGTTAATATTATCTTCTTCAAAATTATTTTGTTGGGATTAATGCTTTTCAAGGAACCAAGGGCAGCAACAGCAGGAGCTTCCGATCCTTTTGAAGTCTTCAGAACTACCAACGGAAGGGATGGGAATGATATTGGGCCGTATATTGAAGCCAATGAATAACACCCAGGATGCAGGAATCTCTCCATCTTGTGTTTGTCCGAGCTGAAATTGTCGGCTGAAAACACAGGCCTGTAAACTCCCACCAACCGATTTTATTAAAGATTTCAAACAAGAAAAGCTACTGCAACAGATGAAATTAAAAAAAAAACTCTGCTACCTTGCAAGGAAGTGACGAAAACCAACATGGAACATAAGCTCTTCTTTTGTTTTAATTGGAGCTTCGTATCCATCATACTTCTTTATGCTGTGGAAAATTGACAAAGGTGATGAGAAGACAGCAGAGCAAACAAAGTCTCAAAAAAAAGACCTAAACAGTAAGATGGTGATTACCTAAAATGTAGAACTGACATCTTGGATTCATGTTGTAAAAGCCCAAATGCTATCATGGGTTTCATGTTCACAAGGGAGGATATTTTAGAGGCAGCACTAAGAGGCACTTCCTTAATATAAAGCCGTACATATGAACCGGTCGGTACACAATCATCTCTGCTTTCTTCTTCCATCTTCAGAGCTTGCTTGAGCACAAGCTTTTGGGTCCTGGCGATGTTATCAAAAGCAAAAATTCGGGCATAGTCCTGAGGTAGAGACTCCTGCATTTGCAAAACCCAAATTTTTTTTACTGAACACCTTCCGGTGAAAAGAAAATAATGAGCTTCACATCAAGATCAGTGTTACTACATTTGGATCCCACGAGGAGGTTCTGAAGGATTTGAGACCCCTGTACTTTTCAAAACGCTTTCTTGCAAGAACATCAACGGGAGTCTCTACTTCATCCGGAAATTCTGGAGAAGAAACATAATATAAAATTAGTCCACTTGCTGTAATCTTAATGAGTAAATACAGAGAAGGCAAACTAATCAATGAGCAGATGATGAATTCACATATTCATGTGAGTATACAAACAGACACGCGATGACTTATACAGAAAATAACTTCAGAAAAGGAAAAAACACTAACCCTCGTCCTCAGCATGCGCCTCTTTGATTTTCTTGATTTCATCCTGAATTTGTTCAATTGTCATGTCCTCATCGTCCTGAACAATGAGCAGATTAGCTTATAACTTTACCAAGACACTCAACCATAATTAAAAAATCCGTCTCATTAGCCAAAAAAAATTGATTACCATCATCTCAGAGTCATTTTGAGTATTATCAAGATCATGCATGTTCAATGAGTCTTCGCCATCCTCAGATTCTTGGTCATAGGTTCTTTCTTGATTGGAAAATTGATCATCCCTGCCATCCAATACCATACCGTTTTCATCGGAATCATCATCTTCAGAACCCTCTTCATCTGTGTCATCCACAATCCAAGCAGCCTGCAAACCAAATCATAAACAACCAAATATAAGAGGGCTAATGAACTATGACAAAATGTGGAGCGAAAACTGGACCAGAGACATTATTATCAATTTGAAAATCATTCAGGAACCTGGTATTCTGATGTCCCTTTTGGCAAAGTCCTCTTCTTTAGCTTTGCCTGTTTCTGGTTTCTGTCAGCCTCAGCCATTTCTTCCTCTGTTGGCCATGTCTAAACAATGGAAGCATCACAACATGTGAATTCCTAGAACAGATAACAACACACACCAACTGCCACCTTCTTCTGTTAAAGATCTAATCAGACTTACCTGTTCCCCTGCTAAAGGATCTGGAGTGTTTTCAACTACTAACTGCTCTTGTTTAATGGGATCAGGAAGCAGAGACCTCAGTACCTGGTCGATTCGAACACAAAAGAGAATAAAGTGAACTGACAAAGAGAAAAATCCATTAAAAATAACAAGATGTAAGGACCATAATACATTTGTCCTTAAGGAAACAATTAATCAGACAAAACTTCAAAAGTTTGTAGAGGGTATCATAAATCTAACGGTAATATGATATCATGACAACTCCAACAACCAATATAAGCTGTTTGTCTGTCACTATATTTTTTAAAATGTAGTTCTGGCCTTCAACACCATGTATCTTTTCTAAGGTAAACGTTTATCGATTCCTTATAGAAAATATACCTCTTCATCATGCAAATCATCCAATTCCATGGAATTCTGTTTTTTCCTTTCAATCAATGGGTCTTTCAGCACTTCAATTTTTGAGAGCTGAAAATCACCAACGCCAGAAACATGCACCTAATTTAAAGAAAACAAATTCAAGGGGTGAGGCATGGGTATAGCACAAGGCATGACAAAGAGAGTAGAATGTCTTGATTACCAGTTGATTTATAGATAGTTTTCGAGCACGCAAGTAACCAGAGAGAATTAGAGTGCATTTTCCTGAGCTTTCATCATCCACCAACATCCCAGCCTAAATGCAACAGTGAAAATTATGGAGATGTTTTTACTGAATGTTTTTTTCTTGTGAGAGTCAAAGAGGTTGATATGAATATATGCATAATGAAAGCACCTTCTGAGCCACAACATATGGTCGTTGACTTCGCCAATGAGGTACGGTAAGCCTTTGTGCCTTAAACAACCACATAAACTGCAAACACATCCAGGAGTATGGATTTGTACCATCTAAACTTAGCTCAACTAATTAAAGACATTAAATCTAACTGAAAATAACTTAGTAAGATATCAACTAGAAATTATATGAGCCCTGAAAATTCACCTTATGCAATTCATCTCTGGTATCTGCTGGATAAAACTTACAATCCTCCGGAAATTCTGAAGCAATTTGAGAGGTGCACATCTTTTTCAGCTCATTTTTCTTTTTTGAGTCAGTGGGTAAATCCTGCAATCAGGTAAAACGAACTTCAAAATGTCAACTTCAAACAAAGTTTAAGAATTCAGAGACATTGTGGTTATGAATATAGAGCCGCAAGAACTTACACGGATCAACACAGTAGTGCTTGGTAAACCAATTGATCTGAACACTGAAAGACACTGGTTTCCAAATGAATCTATGAAGTTAGAGTCATTCCCTTCCAACGGAGAGCTTGCAGATGCAACAAAAGCCATCAAGTCCGCAACCTATTACCAGTAAGATATAAATCAGTTAAGGACATGTAACAAACACTGCTCACTGACAAAACCAACAAAGGTGAGCAATAATTCACATGCCTTGGCCATTTCCATGCATGTCAGAAGATCCCCGTGAGGGGCTTTTAACACCTGTGATATATTCAGAGCATGGATCAAGCATGAACTCAACTTAAGTAGCCATGTATTGTATATATATACAAACCGATCTAATATGTCACATACGGTTGCTTTTAGCTTATACTCAGAAGATGCAACTGTTGAAGAAGACACTCCAGAACCATCGGGAGATAGGAGTTTTACAATATCTTCACCAATAGAATTCAGTTCCACGGAAGCAGAGAGAGGAAACAAGACCTGTCACCATGAGAAATAAGAAGTTAAGGGTAATGCAATCAACCAAACCTATAAATCTCTGAGAACTAGATTCCAATTCCATCAAAAGAGCAACAAAAAGTAAACTCACGATCACACGAGGAGCACTGGTAAATCCACCAGATGCTCTCTTCTCCTCCAAAACTGCTGCTCTTTTCTGCTCTCGGAGCTGCAAATCAATGAG